TATTTCCATTATCGATTAGTTTGAGTATTTCTTCAATTAATCGATTAAGTTTTCATGTCTGATGTCTTAAAATCGCTTGCCAACAGTCCAAAAACTAAAGATTTTCAACTCAGCTGGTGCCATCACAAGTTCATCAAGTGCAAAAATGACCTGCCTAAAACAAAGTAGTTTCTGTTTTCAAACCCATGTGATTATAGTCACTGTCCCAGTGTCTTTCCAAGTTACAATCTTCAAAGTTTACTATCAAAAAGTCAAAATTAGTGTAATTAATACTGAAGTAAATTTTCAAAATTTCTTGCCTATTTTTATCTTTTATTTTCCTGTTCTGTTTTGTTTGCGCTGCTGTCACAAATGAGCATGTTTTGCTGCATAGGTTTCAGGGTCTAAAAAATGGTTTACACGCTCAAAACCGTGAGCTTTTGTGCTTTCAAGTGATGAATGGTTTTGTGAGGATCGGCTAATGAACAAATTGTTTCAGCACCAAAGCAACGCACTTGCTTTTATGTTGAGTTCACCTGTGCCTGAACCCTGAAAATTAACATTCTCCTGTTCTCCGTTCTACTGTTACCTACGGCTACCCGCACTGTAAACGGCTTTGTGTCAGTGACCCGGGGTCAAAGTGTTCCGTCGATGACAGCCTTATCCCCTTAAATGCACCGCGCAGCGTCCCGGCTGCCATGTGCCGGTGCAGAGGTGTGTGTGATGAGTGGAGATGAGTCACAGACAGGGGTGAGAGGAGGTGTCACACAGATAACCCCTACAGATGGACAGCAGGGAGGGTCTAAAGTTTCAGACCTGTGTGTGAATGTGTGTGTGTAAAAATGATATACCCTGGAAAAAAAAAAAAAAAAAGAGTATAAGAAAGAATGTGTGCGTGTGTCTGTGCGTGCGTGTGGAACTATGAGTGGGAGAGTGAAACGAGAGGCCCTGACCTGGAGCAGCACTGACATGAGCTATCATCACGATAGCCCCGACGCTTTTCTCTACCAAAGAGAGGGGACGGAACAAGAGAGCACCGACTCCCTCGTTCCGTTCGGGACTGTAGCACAGCACAATGTGACACATCCTGTCCTCAAGAATATATGATATCTCACATAGTAGTACACATAGATAGTTCTGCTTTTACTTGCAGAGGTTCTGAGAGCTTCACCGCTCAAACATCTGCCGGCACCCCACTATAATGAATGAGTGGAATTTCCTTTTGTGGTGTTCAAGGCATTTAAAGGTGACATTAGAAAAATTAAAGAGCTGCCTGTGTTTGCAGAAACAATGCCCCAGTTACTCAGGATAATCCCAAGACCCTGCTCTGGACTTTGGAACTTCTTCTCAAAACTTTGGCAACCAACAAAGTTGTGCATTAGTTCCATTATCTGCTCAGGATCTGCAGCGAATGGATGGAATAATAAATATCTCAGGTCTCAGCAGATTAAACCTCTGTGCTGTTGTTTCTGATCAACTTCACTTTAGTCTTAATTTAGCTAAACACGCAACGGCTGTTTTGTCATTTAGATATCTTTTGTTTTGCTTTGTCAGACATGAGTAGAAAATAGTAGTTTTATTCATGAGCTGCTGCAACAAAATTCTGTCAGTGAGAACGGCAGCATGGTTGGATGTGGAAAAAGAGTTGGAGGTGAAAGAACAGTAGCTTTTTTACATTTTTATAGAACTCTTCCCCGTCCACACGACAACATGAGATGGCGGAGTGGGGAATGAGACGATGAGCTGTTTTCTAATTTAGACACGGTAACAAAAAAGGTTTTCCAGCTCCGGTTTGAACGCTAAAAAAGATTATAGTTTAGTGTTAATGAAAGGCCCGGCAATTATTTTAAACAATTATGCCACACATTTATTCTTTCCAGCTTCTCAAATGAGAGGATTTGTTGCTTCTTTCCATTTTATATTGTTTAAAACTGAACATTTTTGTGTCAGACTGCCGGCCGGACAGAACAAGCTCTTTAAACACATCACCTTGTGTTTCAGAGCTTGGGATTTTTCACTAGTTTTTGGTACATTTAATAGACTTAACGATTAATCAGCTAAAGTTCAAACTTACAAACGGTATGCAAGAATGAAGCACCTTAGTTACTTACCACTCTTGGCTGCTGTTGTACAAAAGAGAGACCTGAAAGTTATGGTTTCTTCTATGGTTTCTTTGTGCTGTTTAATTCTTTTTTCAGGCGTCTTGGAAAGTTGGAACTTATTTGTTGCCCAGTCGCAGATCATGTCACCAGTGAGCTGTTCAAAAAGGGAACCATAAGCCACAACACCAGGCTCTAACTCTGTTGAAAAACTGAACTATCCCTTTACTGAATGACAAATATAATACTTTCATAGATAAATCTGATGTTTTTTTAGGTGTTTTTGTGTCACGTCTTCCCTGAAAACCGGAAAATGCCTTCAGATCTCCAACATCTGGTAACTCTGAGGTAAAAAAGGAAGAATTCAGCGATTAGGGGCAAAGAGTGCACCCTCTCACACTCTCTCACACACACACATGGCAACGCGAGCGAGGATCATCTTCCTTTGTTCCTGCGGGGAGTTTTACTGTCTATAAACACTCGGCTTTTACGGTGGAACGTCCAAATAAAAAGCTTTTTGAAGACTTCACCCAGTCAATTAGTCGAGCAGCGTCAATAGACCTGCTGCATAATGACTCACCTGTAATTGCGTGAGAACGAGCACTTACAGGAGACTGAGTGGCACGTCACATAGGCATGACAAAGCCCTCAATCTGTTTTTAAGGACTCATTCTGTAATTGACCCCCGTCCTCCCTACCTCCTTTCTCACACACACACACACACACACACACACACACACACACACACACACACACACACACACACACACACTCACGTTTATTTATCTGTTTCCTAAATGTCTTAGCAATCACACGGTCGCTGACACTAGTTGGAGAGTTTGAAGCATGATGCTGCTGAAGGCTTGAGCTTGTCCTCCTCCAAACGTTCAAGGGTTCAACTCGAAGCAGGCTGGCGGTAAACTTAAATGACAGGCTCACTGGGTGTGCTGAGCTTATATAAACGTCCCTCTCCGGGCCTTTTAATAAACATGCATCATTTCTTTGTGTAGGTTAGGGGGATAATGAACAGACAATTACCATAACTGGCTGATGTTATCTCAACTTCAGGGGGGAGATCAGTAGAAATGTTGTAACTGCGCTGTCAAGCTGCTGAAAAGACACCACCACCCCCACCCCCACCCCTCAATTTCTTCCCGAACACACACATACATGTACCTCCGACCCTCCTGCAGCTCCTTCTCCTCTGCCTTCAGCCACTTCAAAATGAAATTCTTCTCTGTCTTCTCCTCCTCTAGCAGTCACCCTTGTCTTTGACGCTGATATGGAGGCATCAAAGAGAAGCCGGGCAGCCATTAGAGGGCCCGAGGGCCTGCACATGCTCCAGTAGGAAAAACTAACAAACCTCACTTGTCATTAGAGGAAATCGCCTAATGTCATCCCTAATTTATTTCACTCAACTTACTCGTTAAATATCTTTCTATTTAAACTCTGACTTCTGTTTTTTTTCCCCCAAGACAGACAGTAATTAAAAGTTAAGTTTAAAAGTTGGAATTATGGAAAAAAAAAAAACTAGAGCATTAAAACTTCTTAACTTCTTTTATAAAAAAAAAAGAAAAAAAAAGAAAAAGGGATTATACTATAATTTTTATATTTAAATAATGTCCAGTGGTTTACCCCTGAGACATGATGATGTACAGGGCACTCTCTGTGAAACAATGCACAGCAAATGTCCCCCAGCAGTTCAAAGGAGCCGCTCTCTCCAAACATTATCATATAATTTGGGCCAGCCGTCAGCTTGTAAATAAGTGATGTAGAAGCCTTTTGTGTGATGGGGCACAGGTTGGAGACAGGCGTCTTTGCTCTGCCGGCATGAGCCGCTGAAGACAAAGGCAGGAGACAGAGCGTCTAACCTTTGATTCTTCTGAGGACTCAGCCGCCTTGTGTCAGGGCAGGACGCATCGGCCACAATCATGCCCCCAATGTGGGGACGTCAAGAACAATAGAATCAGTCTCCCACAGTCGGGCTCAACAACCCGCCCCGACTGCAATTGGATTAGTGAGTGTCCAACCACCACATGTTCACCAAATTGACATAAAAGTGAAATTTGAGAACAATAAGACCTTCACCCACGGGCCTACTGGCTTTGAAATGGCATAGCATTTCTGTAACAGCTTCTGTTACTGAAAACTGAGAAATTCCACTATTTGTCTTTCTTTGATGAAATCATTCAAAGGCTGGTGAGATGCCAGATAATAAACCAAACATTCTTTTTATTTGGGAAAGACGGAGCATCAGAAATATTCCTCTGCTTTTATCTTTTAGCTAAAAGCTGATTTGAACACATTAAAAGGCCAATAGGATAAATCAGGTTTAGAATTGAAATCCAAATTCATCTGAAAACCATAAATTTACTCACTTATTTTTACAACCCCCTTGTAGAAGATAGTTATTACATATATTTTATAAGATGGTAAAATGGATTTTGTTTTAAGGGGCAAATTGAAATCATTAGCTTAATATTAAAATAAAGAGGTTAATTAGAGTCAGTGTACATTTCTGATTATTTCAATTGATTATTTAAAAAAATATACGTGTTGTGACAAATTCAGGCAGTGCTCTAATTTACGCAAATACACAAAGCGTGTGTCTTGTGATCTGCTCGAATGTATTATTGGAAGCAATTCATGTTTTTATTTTTTTTCTCCAAAATGTATATAATATGAAAGCAATAAATATTACAAGTAAATAAACTTTACTTTTTAGATTGTTTTTACTATTTTCTCAATAAAAAAAACTTATACAATCTAATGTACATTATGAAAAGTTGTACAGCTTTTTATGTTTAAAATAAGGACTCAATTTATTTTTAATATGTAGATATAAATATATATATATTTTGTCAAAATATATGATCATATTGTCAAAGAAACAAAAAAAAGTGAGACAAACATACACCTCAACATAAAAGTTATAAATAAGGGTCCAAGTGAACATTTTTGGGAGTAAAGACCTTCTGATTTGTTTTAGCGTCCATGTTGCTTTTTTCAAGTCGCCAGTCCAAGTCCAAGTTCTAGTTAGTTTGTGTGTTAGCGGCAGCCGCAGCCCTCCACTACCATTTCCTGGTAGTTTTTTAGGACCACCTTGTCATGTTCGTCTAGGTAGAGCATGGAGATGGCGCTGAGCTCTGTTGGCACGCAGCAGGCCTTGGGAATGTTGTTGTTCACAGAGTTCACCAGTGTCTGAACAATGGCATGGTTGGTTGAGTTCAGATGGTCCGCCAGAGGAAAGGGGCATTCCCCGTGGCAGTAATAAGCCTGGTAACCAGGGGGCGCCACTATCCAGTCATTCCAGCCTACATCGCTGAAGTCCACGTACAGTGCGTGGCGCCGGCAGTTGCGGTTGCGTTTACGGCCCCGTTGCTTGGGGCTGCGCTTGGTCCGGCGGGTCAGAGGGTGACCCTTCCCGTCATGGCCAAAGGTAACCAGGAGGGGGCGTAGCTGCTCCCAGTCCTCACCAGGCTCCTGGTGTAGTGAACGACTGATGCGGACGTGTCGGCCCTGGTGACGCGGCGTCTGGTTAAGGTGCAGAACCTCCACAGCCAGCCCGTAATTCGGGAGGCGCTCTCGAGTCCAGCGCAGCACGGCAGGGCTGACGTCGAAGCTCTCCCAGCTCGACGCGTTGTGGCGCACGAGCCGTGTGTCCAAGAGCTGCGTGATCAGCTGCCCGGGCCGCGGGGGCTTTAGCACCTCGTACACGTTTATCCGGTGAAGCCCCTGCTCACCTGAGAGGGTGTCAGCAATGGCCTCATCGATCTGATGACGGTAGAGCCTTAGTTCGGCCGAAGAGAGCAGCTCGTCCTCTGGGATGCTGCTGAGGTTGAACAGGAAGCGAAGTGGCATGGCCTCTCCATCGTCCAGCTCATGCACCCGCTCCATGTGCTCTGAAAATGAGCAAAAGGACAAATGTTTGCTCAAGTGCATAATTCAATAATGTGTGGGTATAACGTGTAGAAAATAAACTCTATAGCTTTGCTTCAGATGTGCATCTTATAAATTCAAAAATATTCAGAAATTGAAGTTTCCATGGAGACACCCTGTCTCCTGTTGATCTGTATCACTGTATTGTTTGCCCTCCAAAGTTCTGACAGTACCAGGCAGCAGCTTTGAGTTGTGCTAACCTCACACTTTCACACTCTAACATACTTTAATTGACACAAAAGAATAGGCATGGACACTTTTCGAGGCCTCTTGGGTGTTCAAGAATATAAATATACATCATCCACGCTTCCTTATCTATCTATAAGGATTACCCAGCCCTTCTCTCAATGCCTTTCTCTGAGCACTTTGCTGAAACACGCATTACAAGGAGGGTGGTGATTAACGTACCACAGCTACAGTATAAACACAGTGGAGGCTCCCTGTTCCACGCTCAGTCTGCAGATTTCTGGCAAGATCACCATTGTTGGGGAAAGGAATGTTGTGTCTACTATTTTCCTGCTCAATCCACCCCTGTTATTTCACACCCAGGCCCTAATCTTACCCAGGTGGTTCTCATTATTAAAACCTGCTGTGTTTTTGATTAGCTCTGCAGTTTGTTCACTTAAGACATTTATCATTTTCATCATGAATAATCATTAAGGAGTCAGACAGTACAGTAGAATCTCATTTATCTGAAGCCCATGGGAACGGACGTCTCGCGAGGGAACGCAGTGCATTCAAACCTTCAAACCAAAGCCTGAGCAAAATTCGAAATGTGCACTCGCACACCTTCTCATGTGCTGTCTGCTTTGTAATTTAATTTGTGATTGGAATGATTTAAAAACAAGGATATGCCACCTGTTACACCTAGGAATTAAAAAAAAAACACATCTTTCTTACTGAATTAAAGATGGATCGTTACAAGGTTTACCTTTCCTCCTCACCTAACTGTCCAGTTGCTGCAGACTCTGATACCGCACCATGTTTTGGACAGATCAGTCAACTGAATCACACTATCGCACAATGGTGCTTCCATGAAAGCAAAGCACTCCCACTCAAAAGACCTCAAAGTGTATTATTAACATAGTTTAGCAGAGGAGGAGGGTAAGTGCTTGTAGAGAGCAGTCGAAACCTACACACACACACACGCACACATGCATGCACATACGCATTGCATCACAGGCAGAAGTTCCTCCTCCGGCGGCGGTGCTCTTTCTTCCTCACTAGCCTTGGTACGTTGCCGCGTTAGTGTGTGTTGGCGTGTGTTACCACTAGCAGTGTGTTTGACAAGCCCCATTAAGGCTGACTCATCCCTCCTTCCTCACTCCTCCCCCTAAGGGCGGACATGTTCTGCAGCCCTAAAGCTCCTTGGTTTTCTCAGTTCACTACGCTACAAGGTCACTTGCTAACTCTCATATATCAGTCTCTCCGCCGATCTAGAAGATGGTTTGCAAGCATTTACCGGACATGTTTCAGTCTGGCTTTTCCAACCTCAACTTACATTTAACAGATCAGTCAAACCCGAAGTTTCTCGGTGCCTTAAATGAAACCTCTGCAGCTGTCGCTAAAACTAAGCAGATCCAAGTCACAATAAACAGAAACCCTTCTAACGTTCCAGTCTTTCTATCACACCAGCTTCTGAGACTGTTTTTCCATCTCTCCGGAGAGCTGCAGCGTCTGCTCTCAGCACCCACATTGTTGGCAGTAGGGGCTTTATTTAGAAGGCTGCAGAGTAGCATTAAAGATAATTGCACGTTGAGGAAGGTCCTTCTAAAAGAGCCCTCCATATAAACTGGAGACATGAGAGAAGAGCACACTTCAATTCCAGGCCAAGACCGAGCTTTTTTAAGCCATGTTCTGCTGGGTGGGGTGAGAAGTGCAAGTCAGTAATATGAAGGTATGCTTTTCCTTCAGCTGCTAACCAAACACGCAGAGTTTTGTCAAACGAGGCTCTTGAGAGCTTGTCTAGCAGATTTTTTTTTTTTTTTTTTTTTTTTGCCCCTCTTTAGACAGTGTTCGGTGACCACATCCTTGGATTCTTTGGTTATGGTGAGATGGGTGGAGCTGCCTTACAATCATGTTTCAAGGGATGTAGGAAATGTTTTTTTTTTTTTTTTTTATCCTGAAAACTTAGCAGTCCTCAACCATGCTAATGAAATATAATACTAACACAATGATGGCAACAGTGAGCCCTGGCAACAGTGAGCTCGATTAAGTTGTAATGTTTCTGCGCTGCCATGATGCATTTATCATCTCTCTTCCTACTGAAGGTTTTCCAATTTTTTTTTCTCCTTACCTTCATGGTGGAAGCCCCTCACAGTGTTGGCCCGGCTGGCTGACCTCTCTGGGTACTCAAAAGCAATGTCATGCCCTCCAGCCTCCTCAGCCTCCCCCGACTGTAGCCGATAGAGGTCCAGCAGGTAGCGGGGCACGGTGGTGGAGCGGCTGGGCCGCGGCCGCCTCTTGAGGCCGAACATGTGCAGCAGCGTGGCCTCGAAGTCCCGCAGCAGTTCATGGCTCTGAGCGGCCGAACGACCCTGCAGGCCCGGTACTTTCTTTTTCCCTTCTTCAGGTATCAGACTAGCATGGTTACTCTCTCCCAGCAGGACTTGGCATATTAAAATGACCATCAGCATTCGATTACCAGGAATCATGATGTCTCTGGGGGGAGCAGCAGATGGCACAGGGAGATAAAAGATTAGGAGAGAACTGGAAAGAGCAGAGGGGAAGAAGACACACAGAAAAAGAAAGATAAGGAAGGGAGAGAAAGGCCTCCATTTTAACTGACAGAAAAGATTTGTTTTTGCTTTTTCTTCCGTGTCTTCACCAAAACACCCTTTTCACCTTATTCTTTATCTGTCCCCACTGAGGGCAGCTCTAATTGGTTTTAATAGTCCGGTCGGCCTTGTTTACAGTAAAGCAGTCCCTGATCAGATAGACAACTTGCAGTTTATCTTTGGCGACATCCTCCGAAGGTAAACAGCTGGTTCAAGAACCCAACTTTTTTGAATGGAATCTGAGGGCCATTCCTCCTCACTCCCTCCCTGCCCCCCTCGTCTCCTCCCTTCTCCACTATGATTAGACAAATAAAAGAGGCAGCCCTGGGGTCAGAGCAAATTCTTAACTTGATAAGAAGCCACGGTCCCTCACAGTCTGCTCCAACAAGCCATGGGGCAAACCAAAGACTATGAGCCACATATTTAACTGAAAAAGGCTCTTCCTCATACAAATGCATTGTCCAGCACGCTACAGGGACTTTCAATTCAGGTCTAGCTGAATGCCACAAAAATCAGTGACTCAGTGGGCAGAGAGGGAACGAGGAAGATGTGTCACATGGCACAAATTGAAATGGCATGGTCCACTTACTTACCGACAGAAAATAAAGCATGGGAAAACAGTCCATGTTTGTTGGGAGGAGGCAATGGACACGTTTTTCCAGGAAATGTTAGGTGGTGTTGGGCGGCTGCAGGAGAACGTTGGAGTGACCCTGTTCCTGAAAGATAGAGATAAAAACACAGGGAAATTATAAACTGGATGCAACTGCATGCAAATACTTGAGGCTGCTACCTGGTATTTACTTAAAGCGTACTAGAGGGAGTGTGTGTATATCTGTGTCAGTGTGTGTGTGTGTGTGTAACTGGGTAAGAGAGACCCAGTGTCTCTTTAAGGCTTATCATTTTGGCTCATGGGCTAAGCTAGCTATTTACTGTAACTGGAATGTAAGGAGGTATGTGCCACAACACAGAGAGCGGATCCCTAATGCCTTCACACTCACCTAAGACTGAAAACACACCTCGTGCAATAATTACAACTATTCCAGAAATTAAGCAGAACCCTTCAATGAGCGTAACATTTTGGATAACTGCCTGATTCAACTGAAAAAGAAAAAAACTACCCTATCATGTTCACAGACAGACCAAAGAGCTGATAACACCACTTTGATCAGGAGCGGTAAAAATCTATATCCAAGAGGGATTTCAGAAACCGTCTCCAAGTGAACTCGCTCAACCTTTATCCCTCCAAACAAGTGAGATCAGCCATTTCAGACAAGGAACTAAACAGATCCATCTCAGAAGGGCCTCATGTCTTAGTAACGCTCCCCCACTTGAGGGATCAAACAGGTTGTAGTGACGCTGCTGACAGGCCTTCTGCTCTTTGACATCATTGTCATCAGCAGGAGAGCCGTACCTTCACCACTGGAGTGTGTGTGTGCGTGTGTGTGTGTGTGTGTGTGTGTATATATATATGGTGTTTTGTAGGGTATATTTGGCTCTTAAACTTGATGAAACCACACCATCAAGGATATTGTCTTGGCTCCAGAAGACTACTTCAGTTGAAACATGGAGGTTTTAGCAGTAGCATCTCCAAATAAAATCTTTAAAATACCCCCTTAAAAATAAAAAATAAAAGATTATTCACAACTTTAACGGTCTTCTTTTTCTGTCAGCTTTAACAAGCACAACAGTGTGGCCCTAATGATTCAATTCTTTTACACGTCATTTAAACGTGTTAAATGCTGCTGACTCACACTAATAAAATTACTGCATTTTTGACGGAGTGACCACAACAACAACAACAGCACCATGGAGCAGACATCTCAGCTCCGTAGCGACGTACTGTAGGTCTTTGGTCATCATTTGGAGCCTGTTCTGCTGGAGAGCACCCAAGCATTACTACACAGTGAGGATGCACATTAACAGAAACACTGTGTGTGAATGTGTGTGTGTGAGTAATATACAGTTTGTGTGTGTGTGTGTGTGTGACCATGTCTGGCTTCGTATCTGTGCGATTAATCTCGGCCCCTGCATGGCTCACTGTACATGCAATCAAGGATCTTTTTCCTAACAGCATTAGACTTTGACCTCCGATTGACCCCCCCCCCCTTTCTCGGTCATGACACTGGATCCAGTGTGCGCGAAGAAAGGCCAATGTGCAGTGCGTGTGTGCATGAGCTAAACGGTGTGCATGCGTGAGAGTGCGTGTCTGCACGCGTGCACGAGTGCTTGCCACTGTTTGCATGTTCGTGAGAACTGTGGCAAAGAGAGAGGAGGGTTCAGAACATGATCAGCTCTATTACCCAAGGGGTGGGGGGATAACGTGTGTGTGTATGTGTGTGTCTGAGTGAGTGTGTGTGTGTGCACATCTCTGACAACAAACGTTCATTGTACAGAGAGGGCCTCTCCCATGATTACAGGGATTCATAGTACTCAAAAACACTGACCATACAGAACATCTTGTAACTGTAACCAGCCACTGACAAAGCTGCAGGCTAAAACAGACAGACACTCAAAGTGGTGCGATGATGATGAAAGAAGATGTAAGGCAGACAGGGAGTGACTTTCAACTCTGGAAAAAGTCACCGCGTTCATGTTTGCTGGCCTGTTTTCACCAGTGGTGATAAAAAAGAAAAAAAAAAAAAAAGAAAAGAAAAAAAGAAAGAAAAGCAAAACAAGTTTTTACACTAAACTCTGTTGATTTTTTTCAGTGACTTTCCACCACATTTATCAGCAGTGTGGCCTCGTATTTACTCCTCTTGTTGATCAGACAGCGAGAGCAAAACAGAACTCCAGGATTATATAGCGTTTTAAGAAGTTTCCCACTCTGAAGACATTTGAACTGTGCGACAGACGGAGAAAGATTTTGCAACAACAAATGCAGACCAGGGAGCAATTAGGCCGGAGCAGTCAACTGCCCTTGGCTTTGCTCGGTCCCCCTTGGCCTCTCTCCCTCCCTGACTAGAGATAATGTGATCAGACTATGCACATGGCTCTTCAGATGTGTTTCCTGAGGAATTTGACAGTGATGGTGGGAGGGAGGGAAGACAAGAAGGAGGGAGGGAGGAAGGAGGGCAACAGGTTACCACGGGAACTGCCAAATCTATGGCCTGATTTTTGTCATTTTCGGTGCCAGAAATCAGTTCACCAGCACGTTTATAGTCATGGGAACAGTGTTTTGTGATCAGCTGACGTATTTCATGTTGGGTATCTCTCTCTGGTCGGTGCTAGCACAGCTTCAGATTATATACAGTTCTTTATGATAGTGTGTATTTATGATTGTGATGGCCTATAACTGTAAGGAAAAATAACAGATCCTTCTCAACAGAGGAATTTGAAGTGTTTGCTGACTCTCCTGATAACAGCTAGGTCGTGACTAAAGCTGGAGGGAGTTTAGATCATAATGAAGGCTTCCCTAGGATTCAGTGTGGCCAACAAAATGCAATATCCTCATTTCTGTTGAAAGAAATAAAACAGAGACCTGCAAAGTCTGTTGTTGTTGAATAGTGGTTTGGGATTTTATTTGCTCCCAGTGAGCAGTTTAACAGTAAGAACATTCACAGTCAGTGAGATCACTGAAACCAGGTTAATGGTTTTGTTAAGCTGGAGTGTATTCTGAAAGAAAACAAGTCCGATAGAAATGACGAGTTGCATGACTTTAAAAAAGATGATGGGGGGAAAAAAAATCACTTTGGCTTCGTCAGATGCTCTCAGCTGATTTACATCACAGGCTGCAGAGTGTGAAATAACACAGATGTAAAACCCGAAAAACCCCGAATATCAGGAAGCATCAGCAACAAAAAGTCCACACCTGGGACAATATTTTCCTCAAACGGCAATAAGAAACCGATCCTCTTCGCCAGACGCATGCGACTTTATTCTAAATAAATATATAATTATGTAAATATGAAAAAAGCTTTTGCATTCAGAGTTCGGCGAGTCTGTTCCCCTGCACGATGGCGGAGAAATGTGAGATGAAAAGTAAAGGTGTGTGCCAAGGACGCCATGCGCCCGCAGGCCGCAAAATGTTTTCTCTGCTGCTGCATGACTGGATTAAATGTCACCATTTCACTTTATAATCGTTCGTTAAAGACAGGTGTAAACCTGTGGAGCATGTGAGTCCTTGTAGGCCTATTACACTGTCGCTCGACAATTATAAACCGGATTCAAATCCACTGCAACTGAATGCCTCTGTAACGTGTTTGGCACTGAGTGTTTTTGCAGACTTTGTCATTGTTGGAAAGAAATGTGCAGTTTTAAAACTGGCTCTATAACGCGTGAGTTATTGTTGGCCTGCAGGAGAAGCGGAAGTGAATTGGAATTTAAAAAAAAAAAAAAAGCTTAAGATATAAACAATGTCATTTTTTCCATCCTGGCGAAAAAATTCTGAGCTGTGTCATCTCTGTCTTCTACATTACGCACACCGGGATGACACGAAGCAGACACAGGTGTTTAATCGGGGGAAATCTCTGCCAAACTTCGGGAAAGAGTCACAAATCTACATCTTGTAAATATTTGAATTGTACTGAAGAAAAGGAAGCGCAGAGAAACTGAAAGCTGTGTTTAGAAATGACCTCACGATGTTGGTTTGTCACTGCTCGGCTCTCCGGCACAAAAGGCTTTAACCTGTTCCGAGCTCCACCGGGATCACTGCGCTGTTCGCCCTAAAATACACTTTTGTTTCCTTTAACTTCAGCTCCTCTGTCACTGAATCGACTTTTCGGTTATTATGAGCTTCTATGCTTGTATATTTCTACGGGGCTGGGGGGGAGGGGGGGGGATACCGCACAGCTCTCAGTGAAGTCGGTTAAACGCGCACAAACACCAAACAAACCAAAAACTCAAAGTCACAAACTATCAGCGAGATCCCTCCCTGTCTTATTCAACAGGTTCGCTCTCTAAAAGCTCCAGTTGTATGTATGTATGTATGTATGTGTGTGTGTCTGTGTGTGTGTGAATGTGTCAGAAGATGAGCGCTTACCATCAGTAGAGGTACAGGTATCCTCGAATGGAGTGAATATGAAAGGGAAGGTGTTAGGGCAGTCCAGGCGTAAAGCCGAAAAACGCCGAAATGAGCCTTAAAGGAGAAGCTCGGTGCCTTTTTGGCTCATTAATCCTTTAGCGACACCTCTGAAACGGACAAGAAGGACAGTTTGTGTCGGAGTGAAGGCCGGCGCTCGGGCTCTGCTGCGAGGTTTCCTATCCGTCTCCAAGTACAGTTCGTGAGGGCAGGCGGTGAGTGCAGGACGGGAAAACTTTCCAAATGATCCAGCATCTATGGCCCCTTGCAGTTTTTATCCCTCCCTGCCTCCTCCTCCCTCCCTCCCCGACTCCCACCTCCCTCATCTGTCTCGAACACCTTGGATAACCCCCCTTCTCTCCTCCTCCACTTAAAGTAAAGAGCTCGCTGCGCGCCGCATTTTCTTTCTTTTTTTTTTTTTTTTTTTTTTTTTTTTTTTCATTATGTGAAACTTTGTCACTTTGCATTTAAATGCCGGGATCGAGAAAGAAAACTACTCGCTGCAAGGTAACGTCCTGATCCTCTAAGTGAAAAGTGCAGATGTAAACAGCTGGTCTAAAGAGAATCTGAATGGCATTTATATTGGCCACAGAGGTATACTACATTTAGGGAACATAACTTTAAGATTTATTGTTTAGATGAACACTCAAATCAAAGGAGAACCATGTTCCTTGTGCTTTTATGCCCCTAACTCTTATTTTGGTGGGGGAAGGGGGATCATAAAAGGATTGATGACGGAAAAAATGTCTTATTTTTATTCTTTTCTCTTTAAGCAGTTGTGGAAACAAATATTGAGAGATCCATAGAGGCCACCAAGAGAGTAAATCAGGCCCTTAATAGTTTGTATCTTGCTTTCACTGATATCAAGAAAGACACAAGCTGAAGTCCTTTGTCCTTTACAACTCACAGCTTCATTTTTTATTAAGTTTATATAGCCTAGCTGTAGTTATTTTTATTGTGTCCTGCCAAAATATTTTTGATGTAGATATATGAAGATGCAAATGCATATTGGTTAATAGATATTCAGATAAACTGTTTTCCTTGGGAACCTCATTTAAGAAGGTTTTTGTTTTGGATCCTCTTCAGGGACTCCTGGAGATCCACAACCCCGCTGTGAATCAGCTCAAATCTAAGCGCAGCACACCGGCAGATTTATTCTCATATGAAGCTATAACAAAGTCCTTTTTTTTTTTTTTTTTTCAACTTTCAAAAATGTAACTATTTATTCAATATAATCCCACAATATTGATTTACTGCCTTTGTCAATAGTTTACCCAGAGCTGGAAACAGGTAACACACTTAGCTTGCTATTGTCTGAGGTATAAGCAGCTTTTTGCTGTCTCTGGGTGCGGTGTGGGGCAACCTTCCTCGATCTCCGAGGTTCTTGGGAGATTTCCGTCCTCACAAGACTGACCAACGCTGAGGTGGATTAACTACCTGATAGACTGCATATCTCAGTGATGTATCATTGTCATAGCCCAGGGATTTACCCTGAGGTAATGATTGAAAAGTCTGCAGATTTTGGCACAAATTTTGCCACACATTTCATGCACAGTGAGAGTGCACCAAAAAGGGAGTAAAACACACAGTCACCCAGTATTGAAACGTGTCCAGAAAGTTTAATATTCCAAGTAAAGCAAATTTAATCCAAACGTCTATTGCCAAAATAAGGGTTGTAGGTCTGAGACACTGTTATTTACAACTTCCGCACAGAGATAAATTGGCCTCAGTGATTCTTTCATGTTTTAAATCGGCTCTGGATCTCCGGTTCTCCTCCTGGGGTCATGTACATGTCTTGGGAAAAAAAAAACTTTCCTTGTGTTGCAGGGCCTTGTTGATTGGGACCAAAGAGTGGTTTATACAGATCAGGAGATCTGGGATGCAAATAATCTGGCAGGGAATCAGAGAATTTATTTTGTTAATCATTATTGATCTCCTCAGTCACCCTGACAGGCTTTGGTTGGAAAGTCTTATGCCCCATTGAGCTCTTGACTGCTGGGCCTTAAGATAAATCCCCATGCAAAAGCTGCAGATCTTTGGCATGTTGTGCGTGCATGTGTGTGTGTGTGTGTGTGTGTGTGTGTGCGCATCTGTGCATGTGTGTGGCTTTATGACTCAAGGCCACTTAGTATTCCTCACCTTCTAGCACATACCATCTGCATGACTCTTGAAGCTGGATCTCAAGCTGTGATTGTCTCATTTCAACACCATTACTAAAACCATTTGTGTTTTGTCTCTTTGATGGGGACCTTGTCATGCACAATTTATTTTTGGTCAGACTTACAGCCTTTCTTGTGGGATCCATATTTCATGTTTTCACTTTCAAGCTCTAATGACTGGGACTAATCATGCTGATGACCTGATATTGCACCAGAATATTAAAAATGGATCAAACATTCCTTTTTGTCAGCCTAACTGTATGATTTGATACTATAAAATTATTGCAGCTATTTTTTATATTGAACACAGCTGAAGGTTGTGCAACAGCAACAAGTGCTCACTTGCACTTGATACTAGAAACTACTAGATATAGACAGATCCTAAATGATGTTCATGCAGCCTTTTACCATGGAACAGCTATGAATTGCTGCTTAGTTTGGTGAACTACCATCAAAACTGCAACTGTTTTCAAGGTTGTTTTTTCACTTTCTAGCCAGGTCGTTTAACTACCTTCACTCATTTGCAACATTATTAATATTACATTTCACTAAGATGTTGTAATGTAACATTTTTTATTTGTAAGTTGTTATACATGTGATGTCGTATTACTTCCCTTCATTTTATTGCACCATAACTGCATAAAATGTCCTACAAAACATTGGTGTAGTGCTTTTATAATAACACGTCAGTTCCAGGTAAATTAACAATGACAAAGTAACAAGATGTTTATGTGACTTTATTGAGATAAATGCGATATTGAGATGCCACGTCACTAGACGTGTCAAAGACAACCAGACAAGACCGTACCAGCATTACCTTAGACCACAAGATGCAAACCGCAGATAAACCTCAGAAACAGTCACGTAAAAAAAAAACAAAAAAAACAAACAGCATGTTATGGAGCAATTTGTTACACTCAGATAAGATAAGGATCAACATGTACAGTACATGCACCACTGGTGGACAAATAAAAAAGGGAATAATTGCGCATCCAGTGCGTCACACATCAAACACGATGGTGGACGTGTGGCTCGGTAAGAGTGGGTGTCACTCTGTCGTTTGTTTTGGGGAGCCCTTTCATACAGCTTGTGCTTCTGTTCATATGTCTCAATGTGTCGCATACAAAGGGTATAATAGGGTCATACAAATTCCAGCTAAACCGGCATTTAGTGTAAGTATAATCCTGTCTGAAAATGATTTGAGCCTTGCGAGACAAAACACTCTTGATTAACGTTAATGTTTATATACACATTACTGGACGTAAATTGTATATATTACAAAAATGTTTTATGATTCTTAGAGATTTTCTTCGTGTTTCTATGTCTTTGTTTCTTTGGGTGAAGCAGCAGTATCACATTTTGTGGTTGATGTGTGTTTGGCAGGAAAAGGAGAAACATTTCTCCAACAAGAAATAAATCTTCATATTATTATTCCAATTCTACTTTGATGAATATTTATTGTCATTTTTGGTTAAGTAGAATGTTTTACTTCATTTGTCTTTTTCATTCTTGCAAGAACACACTGACCTAAATCTACATATTTGTCTAAAATCACGTTTTCCATGTCATGCAGGATGTGATGCACATTGCAGCTGCTCGACAGAAAATAGATTCATATTTTCATTGATAGCTGATAACTATCATTTCACAACAAAACCGTATTAGGGCTCATGCGTACAGTTTTTGAATAACTGTGCAGCATTATGTTTACTTGGAATATATTTATTGAATATATTTTTTTAAAGAACCATTGGTCTATTCCGCGTTTATTCACTATTAAACCATTGGAGAGATGAGTTGCTCTTATTATGAAGTTATCCTTTGTTAATGAATTATATCATTATTAAGTTACACTGTCTTTTATCCGCATTTATCCGCATCTCACATTGTGGCCTATCGCGGCCCGAGAGCCTTGCTGTGTTCCCTCAGCACAGGAAGGCTGAGCTGTGGATACTGCTGGAGCATTTGAAGATATGCCGTGGATGTCCCATCCTAAGGTGTTGACCAGGCTTAGCCCCTTTGAGCCCCTCCAGTTCCGAAGGAGATTACCAACTGCGGGTGGCTTAGACCCACAGGCAGCGACTGACTGACTTATTTCACTACTTACGATGTGAACCTCTGATCCCACAGTCCGGGTCTTTGTATGTGCGTAGACAGGAAAAGACTCTAAAAGCACCTGATTTAAAACTGTAAAAAGGCAAGTATTAAAAGGCCTCTAACTATCTATCAAATCACTTTTTCCATATTTCTTTTTTTGGGTACATAACATGTTTGAAAAGTGACTGTACAAACTTGCGGAAAGTTCACCTGCCATCACTTTTCTTTGAGTGAGCTGAGCACAGTCACGGAGCTCACTTATCCTCTGACATTTGCCTTTGGCCATTTAGGGGAGAGGTCAGCAGCGCTTTGCTGCTGCTTTGACGTTAGCTGGGAGAATGGGGTGATTTCACCTCTGTGTGCCCGTGTCACTAAATCCTGCTCGGAGCCGCTCACCTGTGAACACCGGCCCTTAATCAGCAGTAGCTCAAAGGCGACCCGGCCGCATTCAGACCCCGAGCCCAATGTAATAACACACCTTCATTTTCTCTTTCTTCTCTTTCAGACGCTCCGTGAAGTGTTCACTAGTGCAGACACGCGCCGCAGCCATTGATCAAACCTCAGCTTTCACTAATGCGCGGACTTCTCATTGGAACATTCTTCAACACAGCCGCCTCGTGTTTCTTTGGGTGTTCGGGCTGCTTGTCCTGTAATCCCCCTAACCCAGCCCTGGGTCCTGAAAGCCTGTAAGTGGTGTGAGGGGTTAAGGGAGGGAGAAGGACAAGGGAAACAGAGTTTGAGGATGATTGGACAAACTATTTTAATCCCTGTAATGGAATTGGCATGTAAACTCATGAACCTAGAAGTAAACAGAAAGAAAATGGAGAGGGATGGATGTTGAATTGGTCTGAGCCTTTCCGGGGGAGCTGTGTTGAAACTCACATCTTGCCCCTCCTTCGCGAGAACAAAGATAGGTCGAAGTCTTCTCCGGCCCATCTCCTTCAACCGACATCACTGTTTAGATAAACACTATAAG